ATAGATATAGATATAGATATAGATATAGATATGTTGGTTTTGTACATATTGTCTTTCACACTGGATCTTTCCCATTTTCTTTATCCAAGATGATTACATTATTATTTATCTAATCATTGATTGCGTCTGAATGTACAGTGACCAAAGAAGACCAGACTTGATCCAAAGATTTATGTGGATATCATCCTGTGTCACTAATTAACTGATATGTTGCATCAAATAGAAGTAGGGGTATATTATGAACAACTGCCAAGAGAATGTATCTTTATTGATGTTTGATTTGTTATTTATTGAGTATATTTTACTTGTCATATATTACTTCTTTTCTAGAATTCTTTTTCACTATATTGAGCACACTGTGACATAGCTTTTGGCAGACAGAAGTAGATGCTGTAGAATCCCACACTCCATGGTTAGGACATATGGTTGGGACATTCCTGTTTCCTTCTTTCCTTCTCCCCATAACTGGGTTTGATCCTTACCACCAAGAAGTTGTCCTTTATACATATCTAACCAAGGCAGAGCAATGTCTACAGTTGACCAGTGCTCTGGGAAAAATTAGGAATTATAATTCTACAATGTTGGATATTTTAAAAAAAACCCAGCAAATTATCTAGTCTACTTCTTCATTTTACTGATGGTGGTGGTAGGGGAAGTGCATTTAAAATCCAATTGCTTAATTTTTAATCTATAATTTCTTTTTTCTGAAATGCTCCCTGTACTAGCAACCAAAGTTCCAGATCTTCTCTTTTTACAAAAATGTCCTCTTTTTATCATTTTGCAATTTTTGATCAATAAGAGTTTTCATTGTAGAACTTTCTGATGAATAAGGAAGAGTTTACGTAAACACGCAAAATTTATGGCAGAATTGTCTCCAATCGGTTCTATAGCTCACATCAGAGAGATGCTCAGTAGAAGACTATTTCTTTTCTTAATTTGCATAAATACAAGGAACTATCATAGATAAAAGATAGTGTGAGATAAGCACATGCAACCCAACTTCATTAAGATTTGTCTGGTGGGAGGAATAAATTTTAAAAATTACCTATTTATGGGTAGCTAAAAATTATAAGAATTCAATAAATGACAGAGTATATTGAAGAATAATTGCATATGGGCTAAAGATTCAAGATTTGGATGATAACAACAAAAAAAGAAGTGTTTAAGTTAGCCAGGGGTTTTAATGAGAAGAGAATAGGTTATTTGAAGGAGAAAACAACAGCAATAAGGGTAGAAGCCCAGAGGTTAAAAGCATGTAGGAATGTCTGAGATGGCCATTTTGACTGGAACTTAGTAAATTGGGTACCTTACTAGTGTGGTTCTGGAATAAAATAAAATGTTATATCAGTTATTATTGTTAGATGCCATCAAGTTGAGTATGATGCATAGCAACTCTATGAACAAAAGATCTGAAGTCTGTTTTATCTTGAGTCTTCCTCACACTTCCTGACACACAAGAGCTTATTGCAGCAGTTACAGTGTCAACCCACCTGGTTGAGCGTCTGTGTTTTGTTTTGGTTTTTTTTTTTTTTCACTGACCCTCCACCCTTCCAGCATCCTGTCTTTCTTAAAGGAATAACCCCTTCTAGTAACATGCTCTAAGTATGTGATGTGAAGCCTCATCAATCTTGCCTCCAAAGAGTTCTCTGGGTGCACCCTTTCCAAGACATATCCATTTGTTCTCCTGGCCATCCATGGGATGTTCAGTGCTCTTCTCCAACACCACAGCTCAAAAGAGTCAACTTTTCCTCTATTATCCTTATTTATTGTCCAACTCTCAGATGCATAGCAAATAATCAGAAAGACTATGACCTGAAACAGATGCACCTTAGTCCACAAACTGGCATCATTACTCCTCAACAATTTGGAGAGGTCTCTAACAGCAGATTTTCCCAGTGAAATGTGTCTCTTTATTTCCTCATGACCGGTACAAAAAATGTTGATTATGGACCCAAATAAGATGAAGTTGTTGACAGTTTCAATCTTTTCTCCATCCATGTTGCCTATTCACTGAGTGTAAGAATCTTTGAGATACAATCTATCCTAAAGGCTGTATTCTTTGAACTTCCGCAACTAATGATTTAAGGCATTAGTTGAAACAGAATGATCAAATGTTGCATTTATTGGAGGGAGACTTATCAATAACTTGTGTTATACAGATGACACCTTGCTTGCTGAAAGTGAGGAGGACTTGAAGCTCTTCTTGTAGAAGATCAAAGACTAAAACTTACAGGCTTGTAATATGGTGGAGTGTCACTACAAGTTTAAGCCAACCCAAAGAAAGCAGGTTTGGTTTTTTGGTTTATACCATGTTAATAAAATCATCTGGTTTTTGTACAATGGCAGACACACAGATTAAGAGAACAGAATGGAGAACCCATAAGTAAATCTGTCCATCCATGCATACTTTATCTTTGAAGTTAAAGATGTGTAGATGTTATCAGAAGATATTTTAATAAAAAAAGATATATGGATGAATAAGAAACACATGAAGAAATGTTCTATATCATTAATCATTACATAGTTGCAAATAAAAGCAACAGTGAGATATCATTTCTTCACAGTATTAAAAGTGTAGAGAGGTTATAACTTTCAAACTGTGCTGGTAGGACTGAAATAGTGCAATCATTGAGGAAAATTCACAGTATAAATTTCAACTACAAATTTCCTTAAAAGCTTGGAAAGATAAATACTATTTGATCTAGCTATATTTTCTTAAAAAATAATAGACAGTACTTGGGCACATAATATACACCATAGTCATTGTAGCAGTAATCACAACAAGAAAGAGATGGAGACCACATAAATAGATGAATATATAGACAATTTGTGGTACATACCTAGAATTAAAAACCATTTAGAACTACAGAATAACGAAAAATCCAAGAAACACTTCATGAAATGAATGAACCTTGAGGACATCATGCTGAATTAAATGAGTCAGTCATAAAAGGAGAGATATTATATGCATCTACTTTGCCTCACAAACTTTGGGCATGTTGATAAGAGGTTCTATTCCTTGGAGAGAGACATGATGCTTGGAAGAGTAGAAGATTGGTGAAGGAGAGGAAGACCCTCAACCAAGTGGATTGATACGATGACTGCTGCAATGGGCTCCTGTGTGTCAGGAAGTGTGAGGATGGTGCCAAATAGAACAGGGCTCAGTCCTTTTGTTCAGGGGATCATTATGAGTTGTACTCAACTCAATGGCACCTAATAACAACAACAATTATAAAGAGTCAAGGAAATACTTATCCACAGAAGGAAATCCTCTTTTACAGTCAGTAGAAATGGTATAGAATAGGATGACAGGACAAAATCTTAACTAAGCAATAAAACACCTTGTCATCAAGTTGGAATCATAGCTGACCACCAGCAGGTTTTATGATGGTGTAAAAAGCTTTAGAGGAAATTGCTTGTTTTTTGCTCTGACTGAATCTGGATTGCCAAATAGGTGCTGATTATGGGATAACAACATAATAAACACATATTAAATTGAATGAATATAAAGACAATATACATTAAGCAGAAAATCAGAGCAATAATTGCTGAAGGAAATCAAGAATTTTAGACATAAAAGTCTGTAAATACAATTACATATCTATCCCTGCATTACCAGTTACTGTTGTTGATTGACTACTCATAGCAACTCTACAAACAATAGCTCTAAACCCTGCCCTGTGTTGAGCCAGTCTCACTGTCTCAGCACATCTATGCCCACTATCACAATCACTGAGTCAATCCATCTCATCTAGAGTCTTCCTCTCTTGTGCCAACCCTTCACCCTTCCTTGCATGATGTCCTTCACCAAGGACATTCCATTCTGGAAACATGCCCAAAGTATCTGAGATGGAATTTAAAAATCCTTGGCTCCAAGGAACAACGTGGCTTCACTCTCTGAGACAGACTTGTTTGTTCTCTTTGCCATCCATAATAACAAGTTCAATGTCCTTCTCCAGCACCACAAATCAAAAGGCATCCAGGCTTCTTCTGCCATCTGTAGACATTGTCCAGCTCTCTGATGCACAGCAAGTAACTGTAAAGATCATGGCCTGGAGCAGATGCACCTTAGTCTCTAGACTAACATCATGGCTCTTCAGCAAAGTCTGATAGCAGACTTTCCCAATGCAACTTGTCTTTTGTCCCAGTCACCGGGCTGCTGCCAAGGACTCAGCTGCCTACCCCTCAAGTGCTCTCATTTCCAGACGATGGGCCCCTGCTCACCTTCTCTCACTGCCACCTTCTTTAGGCCCTTTCCACTGAGGAAAAGAAATCGTCTAGTATGTCCGCTATCCAGAACCTCCATTCTTTCTACCCCTTTACTGAGGAAAATAAGGGTGATGACTTGCTTCCTACTGGGAAAAATCCCATATAAGAATTCAACAGAGAAATGACAAGAAGACCTTACAACTGCCCAAGGGATTATGATGAAAAGAAACTGGTTAAAGTGTTCAAGAAGAAAATTTGCAGCAATAGTCCTGTAGTTGAGGATCCAGAATAAGGAGAAATAATTTAGCTACAGGGTGACCAGCACAAGAACATATCCCAGTTCCTTGTAAAGATTGGACTGGCTGAAGGTTCACAGTTTTTAAATATGTGTGGCTC